GTAAGTGGCCGGTGGGATGTTGTTGAAACCATAGGTCATTCATGTAATATTATTGTTCTGTGATCTTACATTGCACTTTTTTATTTCTAAAAGTATTGAATTGTAAGTATGTATGTAAACGTGAGTGCAAGGGACAATGTCATTTATTTTTATCAACAATTTCTAATGTGGCTATTGGTTGTATACACTGGATTTTTTACTTTTTGGGAGGACAATTTAGTTTTTTACACCTCCTCATATTTTACATTGAATTTCTATGTTGGGGAGTTGAGGCTTTGAAACGTGGACTGTGATGCATTGCTCGGAAAACTGCTGTCTATCATTGTGTGAATTCATAAGGCAAAATGAACACTTTTTTCTCTCTATTCCCTCAATTCATTTTTTCCATTAAATTATGAGACTGAACAGTGACCTTTACTTACGCCTACCATTATTGCGTGAAGGATTTATGGTTTAAAAAAAACTAAGGAAGAAAACATCCATACAAAAGTTGTATGGATGTATTATCCGATCAAGTGCAGGTAATATTTTTAAATGTTTTGTCTCGTACAAAAGCTTTATTACTCTTCTCATATTTTCAAAAAGATGTCGATAGAAAGGTTGTGCTTTTAGCAATCCCCCATTGTCTCAAATGTTTGCGTAGAAGGAACCAGAAGTCTGAGATCGCAATAATATCGCAATACATGTGACATTTTGCACCTGATATTATACAACATTTTTATACATACTACTGTACAACTATTTTACAAATATTACTCTATCATTAATTACATAATCATAATAGTAATAATTTAAACAATGATTGCGTTTCAAACAAAAAAACACACTTATTAAGACTTATAATCTTTTCAGACTATGGTCAAAACACTCATACACTCATAACATATATTAGCCAAGAGCCAGAATTAGCTCCCTAGCAACTGTTGTCATGAACAAACTAAAGACGCATACACAGAGGAGAAGTTTTCCAATTTAACTTGTGACTTTTCTTGAACGATAAATATAGTGTTTAACAACTTAAAACATAGCTTATAAAGTACTCAATGCTGTGTGTTACTATGACAACCCTCAGGTGGAGTGATATGGAACCTGTAATGCAGTTTACATATTCACAGTATTAATCAATAGGAGTTTGAAATCCTCACTGACCATGGTATAAAAAGGTTGACACACAATATTATTAATTACTGATGTTTTTACTGCTCAAAAACTTCAATTCTTACGGTGAGTGAACTCGCCTTTACACAGATATGATCCGTGTTTCAATGAATGGATAATTTCTGTCAAGGCTAAAGACTACCATTTAACATGGACAGGAGAGTGACTAGAACAAGTGAAGTATCATTAAACCATACAGACGTGGCGTGTAAAGAATCATAAAGACTAGTTTTACTGCAATGGCACGTCAACACAGAATATGTCTATTATTTCAAATTATATCAGTGCAGCACGCAGAGGTATGAAGCATTGTCGTATTGTCCATTCAAGTCTGCCCATGCTCTATTGCAAGGTGATTTTTTTCATTATTAGCTTTGATGGCATGGGTCAGAGCTATCCGCAAAGAAATGTCAGCAAGGACCTAGATGGAGGTGTCCTTGGTGAAGCAGAGCAATGGAATTTTTACATGAAATGTGGGTGTCTTTTCCAAGCACATAAAAACTGGTTGAACTGACATTGACGGATGGCCAAGGGTGGTTATACAGGTAAGTATAGGAAAATAAGTATTAATCACATTTTAAACAATAAATGAAACTAGACTCATTTGAAGTATTGATACAACATTGGACATTATACTCTAAGCAGCTTTGAAATAATATGAAACATTTAATTAACCACAATCAAAATAAACTTTGTGGCATCAAAACAAGCTGTTATTTTGTGTTGAAAATGACATTGTGGTGTTGACAACAATTGTTCAACAAAGACAGCGTATGTAAAATTTGTTCCAATAAGACTTACGGACACATCATTCAAAATTGATTAGAAAGGGTATTTAGTAGAAATTTGTTTTTTAAAAGTATGAAATTAGACATGAATCCAAATCCACTTTTGTTTATATGGCACATTTACACAAACATTGTTTCAAAAGTGCTGTATAGGAGTTGGCAGCCAAAACAGAAGACAATGCAAATAAATTGCCCAATCTGCCGACACTGGTTTAACCGCAGAACCAGGAGCACACGACTCATCCAGTGTTAAAAGCCAGTGTCTTGAGACGAGACCGGAAAAAAAAAGATGTTTAGATGGGGGGGGGGGGGGGGGGGGCGTTGGACATTGGGTCCAGCCACAGAGAAGGCCCTGTCCCTTGGTCCTCAGACCTCAGCAACATGTCTGTATCTTGGCAACACTCAACAATACTTCTGCAGAGTCCTAATTTATTATTTGTTTTTAAAACATTTTGCCATTTAGACACTCAATGGCTGCAAATCTTTTTATCTGCAGCAGTCCAGTGTCCACCATTGTTTTCCCTGTGCTGCAGTGGAGCAGTTTGCTATTCAGGGCAGGTAGACTTTTGCTATTTGTGATGTATTCCTCCAGATGAGACATTCATCATTGCAGTGGTGTTGGCCAGAGCTGGCAGAGCTGCTGCAGCGGGTGAAGTCAAGCTGATCAACCATTCCATTTTTTCCTCTCCGGCTTCCTCAAACAAGAAAGAAATAAAGAAACTACTGCACACTTGGCTCCTTGGGGGGGTATAGGTATTTTTAACAATATGCTCCAAAGAGAAACTCACAATTTCTCCATCCGTCTTCTCATCCGTTGGCAAGGATCCAGGCTCTTTCCAAAATTTCACAGACAGGCCCTTCCCCCCTGTTGCCGAAACACTTTTGAAGAATACGCAGGCGAGAGGGTTCATTAGTTTGACCTCCAGCTGCGTGTAGACTAATTCAATTCAAAGCTTCGACTATTTTCCTTCCGTATCTTTTTGTGTCGCAAATCTTTAATTAATGGAAAATGCAGATGATGAACCTCCTCCATTGTGATTTTAAAGTGAAGCAGGAAATATTGTATCTCACATTTGAACCTCATTTGAATGTGGGCAATGTGGGCCGGCAAAGCAGCCCTATTGGCCCCAAGTATTTAGGATGACTATATCTAATGTCTCAAATTTATTCATTTAAATGCTGCACTTACAAAGCATACAATGTCACTATTTGATTAGCATTGATCTTAGTTTTCACTTTAACCTAATTGCCCGTGTATAATTTCATATGCACTGATACGATAAAAATGTATATATGTATGTATTTATTTTATAAGATGAGAGAACCTTTAATTGTCCTACAGTGGGGAAATGTCAGAGTTGACACGCAACAGCAACAGTAGGATAAAAAAGAACGCTCAAAAACAAGATAATTTTTTTTCTGTAGCATTTAGGAAATAACTCAAATGTTAATACTTTAAAATCTGTATAAGTATAAGTCTATATTTGTTCTTTATGTGTACACTATGCATTTAACATTGGGGGATGTAGACTAATATATGCAGTAATGGCTACATGTTTATCTGACAGAAGCATAAAAAATGAACAGAACAAAATTGCTCGAAATGATTGTAAATATTCTAGATTAAAACTATTATAGATAAATATTATTACATTTGGAGTCAAAACTGTCTCCAATGTATTCTACTGTCTACTGTACACCGCTCCATCTGTGAACTCCCGGCCAATTACCACCAGTCCCAGACACTCACACACACACACACACACACACAAGAAAGCACACATGCACAGCCAATCAGACGCCTGGCCCGGTTACTATGGCGATGGACAGGCCTGTTTGCTGTGTCTGCTGCTGTGATGGATTACAGTAATGGGATAGGGGGAGAGAGAGAGACTCATACATAAAGATATTGGGAATGTATAAATGCAACTGAAATGTAGGCCCAAAGATGAACAAATTAGAGGCAATGATAAAAGTGGAGGAGTGGTGGTGAGACTGGGAGATGGTAAATATGTTTTAATGTGGGAGGAGGTGGGGGGTAGTTGTATGTGATTGAATTTCTCTGTCTGTCTGAAGGTGTCTGTGTGGTGGGTTTCTGACCGTCCGTCCTTGAAGTGAGTCCAAGGGGCTCAACTTTTGCCTTTTCCAGCTGCGCAGTGCAGTCAATGATTTAACAAACTTTATGGATATGAAGCACCCTCAGATAACTTCAGTGTTATGACATTGCATTATTCGTCTTTTAACAATTTTGGAGCTGACTTAAATACTTTTTGACACTTAGTGAAGTACACAGACCAAACCTTTCTGTGTGGAATTTGCATGTTCGCCCTGTGTCTGGACAGGTTTTCTCCAGGTGCTTAGGTTTCCTCTACCGCTAAAACCATGTGCAATAGTTAATGTTGAATGACTGTGTGTTTGTGAGTGTGACTGTGGGACAAAGAATGGAAATCAGAAACAAATAAATGTTATATGTATGAACATATAACATTGAACATGTTATATGTTCAAAAGATCATACTTACCTTTATTATTCACTGGCACACGTGGTTCAAAGTACTTAATGATCTGCGATCTACTTGTTTCACTTGTCATATAATTAACTTTATGGCAGTTATTTTACTGAGGAGGATATAGAGTTCAAAACTAGACTTCTATGAACTCAAAGATGCAGCTCAACAGTGACACCCAGAGGCAGAAGATGATCCAGAACTGACATGCAACAGCTTGAGTCTTATTTTTAATGATTAAAACATCACACATAAAACATGTGTGCTTTTATAAATACATTCATCAACATCATCTTTTTGAAGAAAAAACAAAAAAACCAAATCCATTTTTGTGAATAGGAAAGAACTGTAGATGTCATAGGTATCCTCACAGAGGAGCATAATCCAGTTTCTTTGTAGTGCAAACAATATTATCTACGGTTAATATTGAACTAAATGTAAAAAACTGCCCGTTAGATCGAAATTAAAAACACACAACAACATAATCCAAAACATATTTGGGTTAAAGACAGAGATAATTACTTTATTACTTTACTAGTACCTTAAGTTACCACGAATGTTTTCTTCGTCCTAGAATGGAAAAAAAGATAAAAACATTAAAAACAATGGACAAAACCAGAAGAACGTTGTTGAACTCTACCTCCGAGGAGACGTTGCAACAGCAGAAGGAAGCCCACCACTATAGCAAGTACACCAACACAGAGGACAACAAACAGCTGTTTGCTTGGCTCTGTGGGGAGAAAATAATAACTACCCAATGCATTTGTGAGGAGATTCCGACAAGGTAAAAAAAATCTCTCATGCATCTCATTTGTGTAAGAAACTGTTGTTAAATGCAGAGGGACATGGAGGAACTGAGAAGTTGAAGCTCAGGTAATCCACCACATGATCTATTTTCTTTGTTTTTTTACATAAAATATTAACTGCAGGTGGACGTCCCAAATAATAATCACAAATGCAGCTTTGGGGCCCTCTAGTGTTTGTGTTTGTTCCTGCATATGCGCCAATGCTTCCATATCTAAACACAGAACAGTTAAATACATTTTGTTTTTTTTTCCCAAAATAAGTTTAAGTTTAAGTTTAAGTTTAAGTTTTGACCAGATGAAAAAATGCCCCTTTCATCTAAATGAAAACATTTGATCTTTTACATATTGAGTGACGGCCGGTGAAAACCAGTGAAGGAGCCGAGCATGTCACTTGTTAGGAACTAGAAATTTCCCCACTGTGGGACGAATAAAGGAATTCTTATCTTATCTTATCTTATTATCCTCTCCACACCATTGGGCCAGGATTTGGTTTTCTAGTGCGTTTTATCCTATTATAATTAATTTATTTATTTATTTCACTGGCCACTGTTACCATAAATGTTACAACAACCAAGTGCTGACGTAGAGGCTGATTAGTCTCATTCAGGCTGGAATCTTGTGTGTCACAGATTGAGGAAATGGAGTAATTGAAGAAAGCACAACTAAACACTACTTACCCTGCACAGTAAGAGTAAAGCTCTTCCGGATGGGCACCCTCAGGCTGCGGTGGGACACAGAGCAAGTGAAGTGTCTCCCGGAGTCGCTGAGTTTGGCGCTGAGGTAGAAGAATGCCGACAGAGACAGAGTGCCGTCCGGTTTGGCTTTGTGGCTCGAGTACATGACATTATCCAGGACTTTGGGGAGAGCAGCTCCTACTCTTCGGCCCACGTCAGCTGCGTCCTGATGCGTCCAGAGGATGTCCACGTCCAAAGGGTAATAACCGTCCGCTTCACAGACCACCTTCTTCTCATCGCCTTCAGTCAGAGTCAGAGAGGAATCTATGTTCAAGGAAACTCGCGGAGGCTCTGGAAAAGGAGGAAAAAAACACATGAAGTAAGTAAGTAATCTTTATTTAGTAAAGCAGGTGTGGGCAATTATTTTCTCTGTGGCCTGCTTTGGAATATTGTCTTTATTGCTGTGTTCAACAACAACAAAAGTATTTACTTAATAAACAAAAGTATTTCAAGGGGAGAAGTAGAGGGTTACATCACAGACCGTTGTGAAAGTTTGTTTATAGCTAATATTTGGCATCTGTGCTTTCATGCATTGAATCACACCTGGACCAATGGCAAAGATGGCTGTAAATCTTTTTCAATTCATTACTACTAATTACATTTTAATTTCTTTGTAGCACATTCATTTAAATAGAGGAAAAATGGGGGACTGAAATTGTCCCAGGGCTGACATAGCGTCTTTCATACACAGTCACATTACAATAGTTCAATACATTATTCTAATCTCACCTTGGATTTGTAAACTGATGTCCATACTCCCATGCAGCGGCAGAACAGTGACAGAGCAAATATACGTCCCCTCGCTGCTCATTTTACTGAAGGGGATCGAGTATGATGCATCTCCAGAGGACAGCTTCTTCAGTGCCACTCCGGAGCCCAGTGTGACTCCAGACTGACCGCTTTGGAACAGAATGGTCCTCTCCCCACGTTTGCGCCACTCCACCGCAATGTTCGCCGCCTTGTGGTCAACCGCGAAATGACAGTCCAGGACCTGTGTGGATCCTAGCGCGGCTTTCACCTGAGGGGTCTGCGTCTTCATCACCATCACAACTGTAGGAATTTATGTGTTGGACTTACTCAATGACTCAATACTTTTACATGCTCAGAGCAGATTGGCTGAGCGTGAAAAAGCTGATCTAAAGATGTGACTGAGGCAATACATCATTATGAAAACAAGAGTTAGAGCTAAATAGTTTTGAGAGCAAGGAACTATGGTAGTTACATGAATTGTATTATTATTTATAAGTTTGTAGTGGTTTCAACACTAGGTACTCCAGCTTTAACACATTTTAAGACACAATAAACACCTTACAAACGATTGTCTTGTTCTATAATTTCATAAATGGTCACGCCTGTAATGTCAGAGAGATTGTAGATATTATTTATACGAAGACTTCAATAGTAGTTTTTATGTTTCCCATACATAAAAACAATAAAGGTAGAGGATGTTGAGTTAGTTTGTCCTTTTCTGAACAATGTTAGAATAAAAAGGGATATTTGGTTTATTTGTGTGTAATTTATACTTGTGCAACACTTCTCATTCATTCCCTACGCACAGTGCTGGTATAGGACTAAACGCGGTCATTGCTTAACTCAATAGATACATAAACAAAAAAATAGATAAATAGATCAATAGACAGATAGTTAGCTAGATAAATAAATAAATAAATGTAAATATTACTGGAGTCTTGTTTTCTCTACCTGTTGTGGTGAGTATCTCTCTGTGCTCTATGGCAGTCCAGTTGCGGTAGTCGTGTTGTCCCGTCGGGGGCTGTGCGGTGGACTGTCGGATGAAGCCGAGGACATTGAGCTGGTTCTTCTCGTCCCTGATCCTGGAGGTGAACCAGCGGTTGTATTCGTGCTCCCCGCGGACGGGCCAGCGCACGTGGATGCCCTCTGTGCTAAAGCGCTGCAGCTCACACGACAACTGGTCCATCTCCACGGCCTCAAAGAACCGCCGCATGTCCAACTTGGAAGCTATGACAAAACGCAGAGCAACTTACGAAAAGCTTTTCACTTCAGAATGTTATGACAAATTACTACAGCTTTAAATGTCTTCAGGAGTGGGGGTTTGCAAGTTGATTTCAAAACTTATTTTGGGTCCCTGACTGAAATGTTATACTAAACATTATAGACATTTATTGTATTGATTCAGAAATATTTCCTCTGAAAACTGCTTGGTTCTATCACTAGTTTTCACTATTCACTATCATTATAGAATAGAATGAATAGGATGAAGACGGAATGTTGCTGGCTGATTTGCTCACAAAATGTACTCAAAGTAGCAATATGTAAGATTTTCATGTCAAGTCATCATTAATTGGCCCTAATCCGTCAGAAGACATTATTAAATCTTGCTCTTTTCAAATACTTCATTAACTGATAACAATAGTTCAGCCGAGATATTAGAATTTCAAGGTTAGGTTTACAGCCCCTAAATCTTGTTAACATGTATTTATGAAACAGGTACTTTAACTGCTTCAATCAAATCTGTATTATGTTGAGTAATTATTGTCATGGAATCAAACTGATTTTTAGAGGAAAAAGGTTAAATGGGATCTGTTAGCCAGAATTTTAGGAATACATTTCTATACATACATTTTTTACATGCATCGTGCATCCTAGGTAAAACATTCACTTATACTGTAGTATTCACTTATACAAAATGTTGAAGGTTCTATTGTCAATACTCACAAACCTTGAGCCAATGTAATGTATGCATTATAGACTGTCTTTGGTTGACTAGGAATATTCTTCCACTTGAGGTAGAAGTGGGTTTTAGAGTAAATAGTGTTCATTGTGCATGTATTAACAGCTCTAAAGTTTCGCGTCATCCTAATTTCCATGAGCTCTGATGCAAAACTATTTCCACTTTGCCTCTAAGTTTGAATACAAACAAAACCAACAGGGTCAACATTTCTAACATATATTTTATTTGTTACAGTTTCTTACTTTATGTTGAAAAATATGTTAAAGTCCTTTACACTTTAGAGGATGATCTTTGCTTGGAGATGCATGCAACACAGAAACACCCACCTTTGATACTTATTATTTGGATTCATCAACTTTATCAAACTTACAAGTGATAAGGAAAGTGATTGCGTCCGGGTTGATTGGAGCGTCGCCTTTGTGGCCAAACTGCAGCATTGCTTCTCTGTTGTTGTGCTGCGTCTCCACTTGCCCTTTGTCATTATAAAACACTTCTTCATCAATGAACTTGCAAGGCAGCCATGGAATCTGAGAGGCCTGGAGCACGCCTACAACACAGACATGCATTTTTAGTGACACTTTTGGTTTCAGCAAAATGAAAAACAAGTAATATCATGAATTTTGTAAGGCACTGTGTTTAGATAGCTTTAGAATTCACATCATAAAGACATATAGTCATAGTACATGGTTGACTTATTGTGAATCCCTTTACTTTAATGTATATATCTTTGCATTTTAATGGTACTAGTGCATAAGTATTTTTTAAGCGTCTGCTTCATTCAACCCCTTTTCAAAACAGATATGTGTCTTGTGGGGGATTTGAAATAAACAGCCAGATAGTAGTTGGGGTCGTACATGAGGTAAAACGTTTAGGATTTGCATAACAACGTGTGTAGGATAAGTGTAGTTAGGACAATTCCGTATTTTAAGGGACGGTTGGCAGCCCTAAGTGTAGTAGTCATAGTAGGCCAATGTGAATCCAAAAACACTGTATTAGTCAAGTGTGATTCATATGATAAATTACCAAATAACTAACAAACAAACCTCCCAATCAACTAAAACCTCCGGAGAACTAAGGTTGTGAAATAGCAGCAGCATTCCTGATAACATTATTTAAGTGGTTAAAAAAAGTTAGCTCATAACAGTAATATCCACGTAAAGAAGTGCATTTCTCATAAAACCTACCTGTAAATAGACTTGTACACATTAATGCTAAAATAAATCCCATGGCTGTTCATTGGTAAAACAGGTAGATCTCGCTGTAGTGACTTCTTTCACTTTCATTTTAGCAAAAAGTAGATGTGTCACTAAACTGCAATGCTCAAGTTTACCTGAAGGGGCGGTGTGGAGTAAACTGTGACCCGGATGTGAAGCACGCGCTGTTAAACTTGTGGGAAACGCGCATGGATGTATTATATTATTGTGTTGATGAATATTTATATACTTCTACAGTAAAACACGGGACCATATAATGCATACAAGACACGGAGAACTATAGGACGAGTTTAAGCCAAAAAGCCTTGATCACAGCAAGATGAATAAAGGTAAGATTTTACTATTTTTATAACTTTTTATCACAAAGCTAAGCCCGTGTAGCTTCTGGTATGTTGTTGTTTTATGTATCTGAATTTAGCATCGTATTTCAATAATGTGCACTCTAATAAAAGCAAAAAAAACTATTATGAAATATGCGTTCAAAATTATCACGAGAAGGTGTTGTTTTGGGATATTTTGAGCAATACATTGAGAAGTAATGTTTGTCATAATCTAATTATTGATATCTTATGTTGTCTGACTGCAAAACGTATTCAGTCTTTTTCTTAGCCCTAAGGAGCCTAAACGCAAGCTGAACAATGTATGAAACCAAATTGTTCTCTTGCTCTCAAAGAATTCTTTCTATGCTGCATAATCCATACAAATCAAATTTAAAAAATATATCACTCCAGTAGCACTTCATGACAGGTTACAGTGCAATCTTCATGTGCTATAGAAATGGATATTAAATAGATAGAAAATAGATAGAGGTTGATATTGAAATATTTTCCCCCGTCTGAAAATATGACTAAAATACTTTTCTAAGGTCTTTTAGCTACAGTATATACATTTACAAGTACTTTGACCAGTTATTCTCTTGTATATTGACTTGTATATGTCAAATAAATATTAATGTAATAATCAAACACGTTTTTTTGTGGTTTCAGACTTTGCTGTCATCCAGGGTGCCTTCCTTTCGGCCAATAGGATTTCTCCACTTTCTTCTTTACAAAAAACCGACTGGGACAAAGTTTGCGATCCAATTCTGAAAACTCTTAATGAAATCAACCAACTCAAAGTCGACAAGGAAGACCTGCCCAAGACTTTAGTGTGCACTGCGTGGCTAAAGCTGCTCTGCGCCGAAGATAATGAGAACATAGACGTTTCATGGAAAGAAAGTCCATTTTTTGCTTTACTAAACGGCCTCCCTGAGTTGAACCGAATCACTTTTTTGGAACTCATCAGATCGACAACCTCTATAAATATCTTTGCACGGCTACTGTTGTGTCTTCCTCCATCGCAGTTGTGCTCAGAGGTTGAAAATCTCGTCCTACACATTAGCAGCAGCCCTGTGCGAGGAGAAGACATCACATTTTTTTTCAAGGTTTGGTGGGAGTTGTGGAGGTGCAAAGATGTCTGTAAAGATCGCACAGAGGAGATGTTCTCGCAGGAAGTCGCACGCATGTCTTCAAATTCCTTGCAAAAGCCGGCGAAACGATTGAAACTCGACCGCCCAGACTTGTCCCAGGCAGATCCAGACCTTGTACAAATCCTTTTTTATGCACTTAAAAATCTACGTGACCAAATAACGCAACACAAACACATTTTTACAGCTCTTTCTGTTTCCATAAATTCTCTTTATACAGCCTTTCTTGTTGATGTTCGGCCGGTCATTTCAAGCCGAGAGAAGCTGGAAATCTTATCAGAAATCGCAACTATCCGAGAGCAGAATCCTGAAAATCTAACCCCTGAAATCATTGCAGACTCATTGAAAGATCTGAACGCAATCCAGGGACCATTCGCTTTCAAGCCTCAGCAAATGAAGTGCGAAGATGCGTTACAGATAATGATAGACGTTACTGAAAATTGGAATAGTATTGGTCTGCTGCAAGTGGAGGACATTTCTAAGATAAGTTACTCTGTGTTTAAATCCAAGCTCGGGCTACAAAATGTTTTTGCTGCTTTAGACGATACAAAAATAAGCAAATATGGCACACTTTGTTCCTTGTTTGAACCAATGAACTGGATAACTCAAAAACATGTCGACGTCTCCCCGAGCGTTCCAGCTAAAATCGTAAAGACTATTATCGCTCATAAAATGGACGATTACCAAAACTTTGCCATGCTCTTTGCCGGCGAGCGGAGCTGGACGACTTGTGACACAAACTACGCTGACTTTCTGGAAAAGAACCAATCAGCTTTCAGGAATAGACACACACTAATTCAACTCACCCAAAGCATTGTGGGTAAACTGAGCTCTGGTTCTGTTGATGTGACTCAGTATCGCAAGCTTATGAAGGTAACGATAGATATTTTCTCTTCACTTCCACTTGATGATAAGAATAAAGTACTGTCTGCTGTTATGAAGATGAGCAGAAAAGGGTTTTTTGGGAATGACACGCCGTCCACAGTGGCCGCAAGCTTTGAACAAGAGCTTAACATGGCGTTTAACTGCATCATCCAAGGAGGAGGCGGCCCATCCACATCTTCTAACCTAAACACAGCCGTTTCATTGGTCGCTAGGGTTGCCTTTCAAAACCCAGAGGCGACACTAAGAGCCATGTGTAATTCAGCCATTTGCAATAAAGGGGCTTTCACCATAATGGCAAAGATGCTTCAGCAGCTGCCGGGACTGTCGGGAAGGTTAAGTGAGCCAAACCAGAGTGAAGAGGGAAAGGATCTCCTCTGTAGCTGCGTTCAAGACGTTATCAAAGTGAAACAAATGTCCCAGGAGGAGAAGGAGCAGCTGGTGAAGTTTCTGTCATTGCTGATTCAGCCTGTGGTCATGAACGAAGGAGACGTAGGAGAAGGCTTCCTGCTGCCCCAACAGGTGGTCTGTGCTTTCGTCCTGCCCAATATAGGTGAGAATATTGTGTGTTCAAATACCAAGTACAGTTTTGTAAAGCAATTCGTCAAAATGAACGGTTGAACCTAACATTCAAACTATAATAAATGGAACTATGGGGGGAAAAAATCCAGGTTACTTGTCCCTAGATCAATTTGGTTTTATCACTAATTTTCACATGCATCTTTCACATCTTTCAAGTCAAGTTTGTCAGATTAAAATGTCAATTTGATAACATTTATTTTGTACAGCCCTAATTCACTACAGCAGTCGTCTTGGAGGACTTTACAAAATTTTTGATTCACTAACAGCAGAACCACACAATTAGACAATTAGTTTCAGATTCTCTGTTGGGCATAACAAAATGTACTAATAATAATGTAACTATAAAAGCTGGGTTACCTAATTGTTCATAATCATTGAACAATCTGTAATAAGTTAGCTGCAGCCTACAATAGAGTTGAACAGCGATTTATTTAAGCTTAGAAAATGCCATTTCTCATAGCTTAGTATTTTTTGTGTATGTTCATGTATGTTTCATTTAATTGTTGAAAATGTCATTATTTATTTATGTGATTTCAAGCTGTGCGTTCTATGGACCTTGACCTGAGCTTGCAGCTGCTCCATAGCGCCCTCTGTCTTGACCTTCCGGACGGCGCGTCTCATTGGGTGATGCTCTGCTCTCCGTTTCCTCTGCTGTTTGTGCTGGTGCAGATTTACAACCACACGCTCAGGTACAAGTCCTGCACCACAATGTTGACCTCTGGGGCACTATGATTATCGTTAGAACTATAAACGACACAATCGTTTCTGTTCTTGTAGATGTGAAGACTCCGCAGACCAGCGCAAACTTCCACTGTGTTCCCCGGAGACTCAGGAGTTGTTGGTGACTGTCGTGTCCGCCCTGGGGAAGGTGGTGGGGGCACAAGTGGCTGCAGACCCTGACACTTGGTCCAGGGCACTGTTTTGGCTCTACGATCGGACGGAGGAGCTGGACTGGACGGTGCGGTTCCTCCTAAAGCCTGTGTGGGGAGAGCACTTCAAAAACGAGGTGCCAGCGTCTCTGTTCACCGTCTGTGATCTCCCAGAACAAGTAAGACATGGGAACGTTCTGAAGCTGCTTTTGTTTCGTATGAAATACATGTTTCTCGCTTATTGCAGGTTATTTTTAGAACATAATCCCTGCGATCAACGAGGAACCACTGTTTATTGCTTACTTTTTTCTGAATAAGATGAAAAGAGGAGTTACTCAATTGTTTATAATGACATTGACATAAAAATGTTAAAAAAAAAAAAAACTTTGGTCGATCACTTTTTTATCAATATATCTACTTAAAGCTTGGAACTGAAATCTACCTCTTTGTGATGTCTTGCTTGTTTGGATTTAGGCTCTTTTACTATCAAACTGCATCTCAACCATTTGGTAAAGTCCTATAATAAAAAAATAAATGTAAAAAAATATATTTGTTATTAGTGCTCCTAAAACATTTGAAAAAAATTGACATTGTTTTTTTTAAGGAATGAATGGGTTGATATAATATATAAGATATTGCTGATGTGTGTATTCAACCACCCTGTCTTTCTTCAGGAGTGGTCTGGACTGGACCTGCCTCAGTACGGTCCTGGCACTGGCCTTGTAGCCTGGACCGAGTGCTGCTACATCAACGAGTCCCTCCAGCGCACGATGCTGTCCCATCTCAGCCTGGACCAGAGCAAAGCGGATCACGTCAGCATGTTCAGCAAAGGCCTCATGGTGGCGCTAACACAGACCCTCCCCTGCTGCTCCCCACCGCAGTGGTCTCTGCTCCTGAAGGCTCTACGCGCCCTCATCACCTCCGCTCGCCTGCACGTGCCCTTCTCCCTGGAGTACTGCGACTTCCTCCCGCTGCTCGACCTGAGGAGTTTTGCGTGTGAGCTGCGGCTGTCCGTGCTGCTGCTGAGGGTCCTCCAGCTGCTGTGCGGGTCCAGCTGCGACCACTGGATGTCCCGGGACGACTGGGGCCACGTCGGCGCCCTGTACGCACTGGCCGTGAGGGACATGATTGGCTCGCTAAAGACGAAGCTACCGGCGTCTGAAGATAAAGGCTCCGAGGGGGAAAAGGAGAACGCCCCGAGTCAGGAGGTTCTGTTTGTGCTCGGACAGATCTACTGCCATGTGCAGCACGTGCAGGTAACACACGGGCGATACTCTCGGCTTTGTAATTACTCTATTCATTATAAACGGTTTTGATTTTTTACCATTTTAAAGCTGGGGTAACTTACTTTGGTCATAAATGGGAACAAATCATAAATGTCTTAAGAGAAAGTCTACTCTTGTAAAGGCAACATTTCTGAACAAATCAGATCACAACATGCTGTCTTCATCTTAACAGAAAGCATTTTACCTTTTGCAGACTAGTAAGATGAGTCATGACATGGCTTTTGGGCTGAGAGCTGATTGGCTGAGTGAGGATGGTTCACTCGTTTAAACTTTTCTGTCTGAAAAAGCTGAGAAAAACATATGATGGAAGCCAAACAAAACAGCTTGTATGATATAGTTTCTTGTTGTTGTTTGAAAGCTAGGTGTCCCAGCTTTAACATTGTAATCTCATGAAAAACTCCTGCCCCTTTGGTTTAGATGCTCCTATTTAAGCTTTTGAATGACAGTTGCATATACATATAATATTTGTATTGTTGGAAATAAATGTATTTTTTCATAATTTCGATCATTGTTAGTGGTTGTGTGAAGCAATTTATTTTCCTAATGAACCTGTATTCAAATTATATGGACGAGAAACTACCAAAATTACCCTGATTAGACGTTTCCAGCTCCTGTGTTGTCCTTTTAACGTCTATAACAACTTGTGTGGTATTTGTTTAAATCTGTCTTGGCAAAAAGCCTTCAGTTCCTATAAATTCCTCATGCCCAGGAAAAATCCAACTGGACATCCAGCAGCTCAATTATGTTATCATTTGAACATATTTGAAACAATTTTTTCATTATATGGCTTCACACAACGATGAATGACAAAATAGTGTCATTCATGGCCAAAACCAGGACATCTCTGGCTGGTTGTGAATACTGTCAATCACAAATGTACTATGCGTTCATGTAGCAGGAATGTAAAAGATGTAATGTTGTGGTAAACGTTGTCACATTCTGGGCTCTCAGGTGATGTTGCCGGGCGGTCAGTGCGAGCAGCTGTTCCTGTGCAGCCTGGAGCTCCTGAGTCACTACGCAGCCGTGATGTCTGCGTTCCCTCTGAGCTGCAGCGCCGTGGAGAGCGACAACACGCGCCACTTCTTCACCACCATCACGGAAAACCTCCACAACAAAGAGATGAAGTCTGTGCTGCAGCAGAAGATCTCGCAGCTCGTCTCATCCGAGGCTTAACTCAGGAGAAAACAAACGTGTGGGATCTATCCATATGCAGAATGTCTTTTGACATCTCATTTTTGTACACGACACGGAAAATAAAATGACTTTTTGCTCACATGTGTAAAGGCTTGACAATTTATCACTATTTGCTTAATAAATAGTAGCAGATTATGTATTCAAAACTGTCCAAGCTATTTTAGCTTTTCCTATAATCCTAGTTCTATCTGTAAAATCCGTTGAAGGTTGAATAAGTCACTTTGATATACAAATTTTCATAATATGGAAGTTCAACAGGTTCAATGTACAACAGTAACTATTTGCTCCGGCTCCCAACTTTCAAACCACAAATCATGGAAGCATGTAATAAAATCCATGTAACTATTCCTGGGTCTAAAAAAATACTTTAGCCAAAATCTCACTTAATTTTGTATTTTATGGACCCGCAATCCCACTAAAGTTCCCCACTCATTTCCCACTAAACACTGCTGCACATTCATGAATGAGTAACGGTGAAGATTCAGTTACCATGCCAATTGATTTTCTCATCTGCTTTTGGTGAATTGACAAACTATTTTAATACAAGTTCTAAGGCAAGGCAGGTGTGAGTGCAAATGTTTAGTGTGGCTCAGATTATTATAACCTGGCATGTTTATCTGCGGCTCAAAATGATAAATTCTAACTCAAAATAAGGCAGTGCATTTAAAAAGCTCAAAGTGGATATAATTCAATATTTGAGTTTAAAAAAATATTTGTTGAGATAAGGATATGCTAATAATGGTAAAGAGAGATAATTGTAAACATCTAAAGGTTAATCAAATAATCATTAATTTCTTTAATTGATAAAGTGTAAGATGAATCTGAACCTTCTATAAACATGCAATGTAGAATATAATATATTTTTTTCCTGGTGCAACTAACAAATTATTTTTACAACATTTTAAGTTGGCTACCCAACACAATCTCATTATTTATCTAATCAAATATTTGCTTAGTTTTGGCCTCGTTTATTACATGGTTGCTTGGTAACATGCCTACCGCAATGTTTTCTTGAAAAAAACAATATGAAATCTGTAAAATATTTAGCTAAATTTGATGTCGTTACCTGTGTTTTGTAAAATGCAATGTAATGTAAAATTTTCATTTGGCATATTTCAAACTAAACTTCAAAAACAGTGCAAATAAGATCACATTTCTCAGTTTATTTTTTCTACTATGTTTCCTTCCCTTTCTTTCCTCGAAGGTAAAGTCTCTTTGCCTTCTTCACAAGGAGGATAAACCAGTAAACCTGCGGTGCCAGGATCACTGCATTTCCCAAGTTGCAGTGCAGCGGTAAATGAAAAGGCACTTTGTTCAGAGGAATCCCAAACTGTCGCCCGTACGTCCAGTACATGAAGGGAAAGATCAGGATCCGACAGGTGAAGAAAGTCAGCAGAACCACCAGGCCATTGAGGCGGTGCAGCCAGGTGTCGTCCAAGCGCCGCTGCGACACAAGTGAGGACACAAACATGAAGAACATTCCACAGGGTTTCTGCTGCGCCAACTGTAAAACACTCATTCAAGGCCACCAATGAAGAAACCAGAATAATTTGTATGCAAAGCAAGTAAAACAGTCCTCATAATAAAGTCACAAGGCTTGAGACTAAGAAGAAAGAGCCCTGTGAGACACTATATAACACTTAGTTTGCACAGAGCGTTGATTGGCGAGGTGAGAGTGGGCCCAGTGTTGATTAAAAGATGTGACAAAAAGCAAAAATACAAATATGTTAAAACTAGTGTCATAAAATCTGTAACTATTTTGAATCTAAAATAAAAAAAAGTTATTTGAAAGTTAGGGATACAGGCTTTAACTTTTTTTTTTTTATGGGAAATGCACCCAAGACTAGAAAAAAGTAAGGCAAGGCACAATTCATACACAAGGCAACTCAAAGTGTCTCGTGACCAACTTAACATTAACCCTAACCCTAACAACTGAACATTTATTAGCATTTATTTCATCCAGTAGATTTAAGATTGACATTAGATTCAAGATCCTGCAGGGTCTTAAATGTCAGACTTAAGACCATGCAGAAAAACTGACTAGTTAATGTTTGATAATTGGAAACTTTACTTAATCAAGTTTGATCATCATTTGGTGGTGAGCAATACTGATTGGGTTATGACTGGATTGTGATCATATGTTGTTGATAATATTGAGGTGGCCATCGTAATAAACCTCATAATATAATAAGATTCAGAAGAAATCAGAAGAAAAACTATTCTTTTATTTTACATTCCGGGGCATTTGTTTGGTGGTCGGGAGGGGGGGGTCATGGACAAGGAGTAATTTTGTTTTGTAAATATTGTCAAGCTGTAAATATGAAGCCAATAAACCATAACGTAACACTAAAAGAACATTCAATTATGAGCAGTAATACAAGTTTACCTGGATGAGTATTTTCCCAATAGCGATAAACGGAGAACTGAATTCTGTTGTGAAAAAGCAGCCGATGAAGAAATCCCCCAGTCCTCTCCTGAGAAACTACAAACAAGCAATGTAGCTCAAAAGTGATGTTAAAAAACACAATTATCGTGTCTTACCAAAGCTACAGGCATAAAAACAGTGAGCAATGTCACGTGATGTAGAACCAACATCCAGTCTTTGTGCAGAAAAGCCTTTAGGGTTTGAAGGGAGTGACGTGAGCTGTTCTGAGAGTGGAAGTGGCTCAGGTACATGGAATAAATGTCAAATGCCATGTAAGGAGCTCCAAACACCACAAAGGTGTTTACCAACCAGTGGCTGTAGAGGAAAACAGATCACGCCAAGATTAATGACAATAATAATTATCACTTGAACATTGTCTATATGTGAGGTGATGTTGATCAGATAATGCAAATCTTCATAAACATACTTGTCATTCATAACATCTTGACAGGACAAGACCACGATAGCTCCTGCAGCTGTTGCCAGTGACCCATGAACTGCAGAAACCACCCTACAAAAAAATAAAAAATATTAAATTCATGCTGTGGTGCCTCATTTTCAGACAAAACATGAAACCATGTTAGGTAGGAAAAAGCTAGGCTACTTCAAAAGGAGTGAGATATGTATTTTTCTATAAGGGCCATTTGTGTTCCTAGATTTGAGGTGATTTGCTCAACTCAAAGACCATGCACTGACAATTACAATGTAAGGCAAGGCAAGTTTATTTGTATAGCACAATTCATACACAACGCAACTAAAAAATCAAGATAGCATTAAATGTATTTGACCAATGTATTTCGACAAACTTGGGCATGATGGACAAGTTGTTGTTATTTGGTGTTTTGATTGTTGCGCTCAGAATAATGAGTTAGTTTAGTCGTAGTTCTCATATTTACTTATAATTTATTCATTATTACCCTTCTATGTAAATTAGCATTAGATTGATTTGCATACGCTTCTGCTAATGTACACACACTGAACGCACACTAAACACACGCTGTACACACTCACTGACCTCTCGCTGATGGAGACCACGTCTGCCTCGGACCAATTCGGGAAAAGTCTCCTCAAAACTGCCCGAGAACTGAAGAAAAGTCCTGGAAACACCACCACTCCACAGGCCAGAGCAGAGAGCAGCATTTTACCGTGTTTTCTTCTCCACTGCAGCGGTTTAAATGTGAATTTAGTTACATCCCGAAGCTAGTCGCGTTAGCAGCGGGTTACTTCCTGTTTACGTTGATGACGAGTATAAAGTTGACCAATGAGGAGAGGGCATGACCTGCGATGACCTTCAATGATTTAATCTACGAAATAGTTGCTTAATAGTTTCTCATTGTGTGAAATACTAAAATCAGTATACCTACCACCTGTTTATTTATTCATACACATGTCTAGATTATTTTCATACCAATAAGAGCTTTTCAATTCAGTCACTACTCTATACACCAATATTTTTCTTTAAAATGTCTGTAGCATTCTGTAAAAAATCTAAATAAATCTGTCTGAGAACAAAAAGGCTCTGTCTCTGATGATTTATTTACCATAAGTATTGGTTCAGAGAAAGATTGCACCCTAAAGTGTGCCTGAATTTCCCATAATTAAACAAGGGTCACTCATGTCTGGAGATTGAATATTTGGCTGAAGAATGACCACATTTGGGGTTTTAGCAACAGCCATTTCACAGCTGAGGCAAATTTTAGGGAGATTTTTGGACGTGTGATAAAGCAAAAAGCTTCAGGAGGAACCCATGTAAATCCTTATTCACTTTTTTGCTAAAAAAAATACAGGGATATAGATCATTTCTTTGTGCGTGTTTGGAATTCATACTGTTTTGACTCTAAATAATAGTCAATACATAGTCATAAGAGTTTGATGTTTTTATTTGATTGATTGGCTGAATTTTTTTTAGTGGAGTCAAATCCAATGAAACTACAATCATTCTGAGAGACATTTGTGTGAGTATAAACCACCAAACTTGTTAGTGCCGTATGAACTAACTCGGACTCTGAAGAGCACAGGGACCGGCCTACTGCTCGTGCCCAGAGTCAGGAATAAACATGGGGAGGCTGCATTTCAGATTCATGCAGCCTGGAACCTGGAACAGTCATCCTGAAAAAGTGAGACAGGCTTCTATTTTGACAATGTACAAATCCAGGTAAAAAACCGTTGGTACAACTGAAGGATTGCATCTTCACTCTGTACAAATATACCTGCCTTGCCTTGCCCTACTATGAAGCATCCCAGTACTTTGTGTTGTTTACTTATTTCAAAAAGCCATTTATTCTGTCAAATAAACATTGCATCAACACTTGTAAAACGATTTCCAACCTCTGCTGCATATTTCAGTTCATTGTTTGGCATAATTTATCATCCCAAACATTCTCCCGCTCGCAAAAGCCGTTGTTTTGCTGCTGAATTTTGTGTTGTCTCCAAACGTCTACGTTCCTAAAATAAAGTTTCCAATGGTGCTCTTGCCACTCCGCTTTGGTCCCAGCAACAGAACCACCAGCAGCTCCACTCTGCCCTGAAAATACAACATTTCCAATCAAATGTAAGAAATATCAAATTAACAACAATTCCTTATTCTGTGTCCATTCCAAACTCACCAATGTAGCCTGCCATGTATTCTTTCCAGTTTTCTAATTGGACTCCTAATTCATGTGGCAAACAGAAGCAGCTCCTTGATTACTTGGTCTGTTTTTCTCTATTTGGAAATATCAAACTATTCTCCTCATATTGTGTCATACTGGCAGAAGGGTGAGTTGGAATCAAAGTTCAGAGCTGAGTTTCCACAGATGTGGTGATGGTAAATAAGAGACTGTTAGAATAAAACTGCTGGGAAGAGGCCTGACAGCTGATATAAAACATGAATGATTTAATTAGTTAGTTATTACTGCTTAAAATACAGAATTCTTATGTTGGATTCTCCTCTGTCTCCTCTCCACAGATATGACTAGTGATTAAGCTCAAATTAAGTAATTTTCTTATCTCCCGTGTAAATGTGATGCCATAATTATGTCTGTTGTTTTTCCAGGCAAAAACAACAATATTGAGATGGAAAAAACACAGGGAATGTATTGTCTAATCCTGCCTTACTAATTACATTGTTACTACTATTGTTATTTATTGTCTGTTTTGTACTGTAATGGCAAAGAAAGTTTCTAGTTTGACTTCATTTCCACAGATGATGACAATAATATAAAAAGGCTCTGATTTGCTGTATATTCAAAAGTAGGGCACAGAAAGTAGATGCTTGATTTTTGCCTCTGGCGTTAATGCAACTCTGTGACATAATTCTGTCCTGTTACATATAAGATGAACCATTTCCCTGCAGTTATTCTAACATTAAAATGTCCTACTTTCTGCAGCATGATTCACAAATGGCCTGTTTCCAGTTTGAACCGGTGTGAGAGGGGTCTATTTCCTGAGGCTAAAAGCACAGCGACCTGTCATTACATAAACCGCTCACTTTCCCATTAAATAAGCATGTTTAATATTCACGTATGTTTTCATTATTCAGCACAGTCACATTAGAGCAGCTTTTTCACAACACATCTGGATCTATGGAACCTTCTTTATCAATGTTTCTGATATAAAAACAATTGCCCATCTATAAATTCCAAACTGTGCATGAGGCTTACTGTCCTGTTTACCTACACATTTCAAAATAAAATGTTATTGTTGGCATATGGTGAAAAGTGAATAAAATGGCTCAATTAAATATATTTTTGTGTCACCCAAAATAACAAGTCATAGCAGTCGTCTCGAGGGGTGTCACAGAAATGTCGATTTGCCAACAGCAGATTAGAAAACAATTAGAATAGGTGAGAACTACAACACCCAATAGTCATATGGAAGCAGGTTAACCAATGTACATAAAGATCTTGGATCATTCTTTGTCCATAAACCCACCTGCATTTGTAAGGAAGACTTAAAAAATGATGAATTTCCATATACAGTATTCTATATTCTTAATCACAAGCACAAAACTAAACAAAAATCAAGCTTTTTGTTTCTTTTTTTCCCCTTTGGTATTTATGCCTTGTTCCCAAATTATAGTGATAGATGCTCCTTCTACACATCTCAGTAATTATTTTCTATATATACTTGATCTAGAATGGTAGCTTTTTGCATATTTAAAAAAAAAAAAAAATTCAGTTTATCTTGAAATTTGCTTCATCCTTTAATTTTTGACACATCTGCCTAGACTCCATTACTCTAGTCTAGCTAGCTTCCCTTGCATCATCTGTCCAAATGGTCTTTTTCAAAATTGGTACACTTCGAACAAATACTTAAAATTATGAAATCAAGGACAAACAAAAGTGTTTCCTTGTTTTTAAGTTTTTTCTATGGAATATCTCCAGTCAAATGATGTTAGTCACAACTGCATGCTTTCCAATGTATCGCACCTCTGCAAATGCTGCTTTGTGTATAAATGTTTCAGTTTAATCAAATCAGAATCTTTCCACTTGGCTGGTTTGTATACACAACAATCAGCAACAGTAGGGACCATCCAAATATGTTCAATTAAATTGCCAAATTATGATAGTTTTTTTTTTTTTCACGTTTGGCTGTAACATTCTTTCCTCAGCTTTGGCTCAGTTCATGTCAGTGCATTCAGGGTTTTTATGGTGTGTGTTGTGATCCTGCTCATCACCACTTGGCGGCGCTACAGAGGCGTCGCAATGTTTCATAAACTCATATCGTTGAGAGGAGATAGCGGTGAGATTATCGTTTAATAATGACCGTAGATCTGTGTTTAGACTGTGTTAATATAATACATCCATGGTTTAGACCAAACAAATGTTACGTTGTGTAATGAGAAAAGACTGTGATATGCTGTTTTTAAGTCTCCTTATTCCAACACCTGAGAATCACAGTTTGTATATTCTTGTTCTTTTCTTCTCATACTTTATTCTGCCCATTGGGAAATTTGTCCTCTGCATTTGACCCACCTTTCAAATCCCACCAGGGCCTGTGTCAGGAGCAGTGGTCGCAGTAGTATGTCCTGATGATGCTCGGCATGGTCCGGACCAGAGCTTGAGGATTTCACCCTTTATACATGGTTTTAGTTGCAGGGGAAACCAGAGCACTTGGAGGAACCCTACAGAGACATGGAGAGAACGTGCAAATGGAGCCAGGGCTTCCTTTTTTTTTTGCTGAGCAGCGAGGGTGCTATTCACTTATTAGCAGATTTATATTCTTGTTCACCGATTCAGTCTTGGATTCAGGATAGTGAAACCAGCTCAAATGTCTGTAAAAGTGACCATGAGAAAGGTGTTGGCGAGACCAATGTACTGAATTAAATCACTATCCACAGTATAATCACATTTAAGATTATGTTTATACCTGCCTTTTCTTCAAAACCTTTCACCCAATTTAATGAAATGGAGGGATCATTTTTAAATAGGTTGGAAAAGATCTACACATGAAAATGCTCTACAAAGTGACCGAAAAAAGGTCATTTTGACTGTCTTACAGACACAAAAAGCAACAATCTCTTATTTAAAATAGATTAGTACATTCCGCCTTAGATGAGAAATTATCTGGAACTGCCCTTAAACAAGACAAATCTTGTTTTAAAATAAAAACACTTGATTCAAGCTTGTAATTGTTCCCTTATATTTGTGCATGTTTTGAGGTGAATGAGAAACACACACAGACGTGTCCCTGAAGCATGCAGTATTTATCCATTTCAAAATAAAATAAAATGTTTTCCTTTTAATTAACATTGCATGTCATATTGGACACAATAAAAAGACCAGGAGTAAAAGTAAAACCACTGTTTGTTGACTTTATTTATATATACTCATATTTATATATCCATGTGTTTGACGGCCACTGTTGAAAGTGTGTCACATTATCACTTAGAAGCATAAATAATAGTTTTTGTCTCTCTTGAAACCTGGTAAAGAAACCAACTGAAAACAGTTACGGGTCATTTCAGCACCATTGAATAGTACATTCTCTATATTGCATCAGGATATAAAAATATACAGATATATCATGTGTTTTTTTAACTTCTTGAAAACATTCGTTTGTGTTGTTCAATGGCATGAGACGCGAGAGGAAGAAAAGGCCTCACATACAAAATGAGGCTGTAGTCGGCGTGTTTTGTCGATCCTAATACCGTCCGTTCATTCGTTCACAGCACTTTAAAAACATCGTTAGCAGCCACACGTGAAGGAGGACGCGACACGATTCAGTCCGGACGTCCCACCTCAGCATCGGGAGTGTTCACTGTCATCAGAACAGATGATAATGGTGAAGAAGCTCAGATAGACCCTTCAATATACATTAACAACATGAAATTAAAGTTTAAAAAGTCCCAAAAAACAAATCAAACCATTACAACAAATCAATTGTAATGGAGGCAAACAAGAAGAAGCAAAAAAAAGGCGGAGTCTGCAGTGCATAGAGAGGGACCAGAGGTGGACGGGATTTATTGCCCTGTGTCTTTTTCACGCACGCTTTAGTTAGCACCCATTCACACTTGTCCCATAGACACGCATACAAACAGGAAGGGGCGGGTTCAGGGTGAGGAGCTCCCTCTAGTGTGTGCCTTCAGCTGTGCACTTCATCAAATGTCCCAGTCCAAATAAAAGGCGCTCTCTGTGGGTTCGGGTCTCACATTCGCGAAGACGACGTCAGCTCGTAGAACAGGACGTAGGCGTCGCTGCTGCGCACTTGGCTGGACGACATTGGCGTTACTCTGCGGACAGAAAGGGAACGATTAAGACGGCTTGAAGAAGAAAGTAAGAAGGGATTTTGTGATGTGATGTCCGAGTGCTTTTGGATTGACAATTTCAGGATGGTTCCTGTTTATGTATTTTGAATCTGTTATATTTATGTACCAGTCTTGCGCACACTGGGGTTTTACTGAAAATGGCTGAATCTGAATCTAGTGGCCACAATACTGGGACGAGATCAGCTGTGGGTCACTTTTTTGATGCATGTGCTGTTTAGTTCTGTGTTAAAGCTGGGTTCCAAAGTGATAATTGTTGTTTGTCTGTAAAAGTCCAACACCGACCTCAACATGCTCTCTTCATCATATAAGAAAACATGTTATTGTTTGCCTAAGAAAGAGCCCTGTGAGTCACTATTTTCCACTTTGGGCTGAGAGCGGATGACCTGAAAAGGGTGGTCCTCTCTTTTTAAATTTTCTGTCTGAAAAAGCTGATCTAACGCTATGAAAACTAGTGAGAGAACAGAACTGTTTGGAGAGCGAGGGACAATATATAGATGTTATATGTTATGTTTTATATGTTTTTTTTTGTTTCAAGGCGAGGCACCCTTGCTTTAACTTGCTATGTATCATGAACTGTATTTTGATGTTTAAATATTTGAATACAGATATAATTTAATGGCTGTACACGTTCAGTTGTGGCATCTTAAACGGTTGTAAATATTAGTTGTAAACATTAAAAACGCATCTCAGTGAACTAAGCTAAATCCTGTATAGAATTGATTGTGTGAGTCTTGTGAATGCGGCTCTCACACACCTGGAGTCATTGAAGGTGTACCATTCTCCCGAGTTGGGGTTGCGACAGTAGGCCGTGTAGTGGCCGCCCATAGTGGTGCCTGAGTGGTTGGAGACTGCATACAAGTTGTACACTGCATTGACTGAAAAAAAAAAACAACAAACACAAAAATACTATTAGCAACTTTAAACTACATGTACAGACAAGTTTAAAAGTGGGTATTACAGTTTAAAGTCAATTTCAATAAAACATAGTCATGATGGTTATATTTATGAATTGATTGAATGTCTATTGACTTCTTTAGACTTGCCATAGGTACAGTAATAAGAGAGCAACGGACGTCTAAATTAAGTATGAATTGACAATTGTTTGGGAATTGGACAAAAACAGTGGACGTTGTGACTTACTGCTGTTGTCAGAAGTAAATTCCCGCAGGTCCAGATCCTTCATGGGGAAATTTACAAAAGTGGATAGTTTGCTGGTTCTCCGCGCCTCCGAAAAACGCTTTAGGTCTGATCAGGGTTAGAGTTAAAGGACTGATACAGGCACTCAGTGTAAATAAATGTGTTTAAGTTTGAAGTTCAGAACTGAAAAGGATACGAAGAACTAAAATCCTGGGGAACTTCTGGATAGTGAACTTCTTTGTGCATCTCCTGCGGGCTTTACACCTGTAACACGTCTGAAGGAAAAGGACAAACCGGTCATTTCACTGCTCGGAATGTAGCGTCCAAACACTTTATAAGTTCATCCATCGGATTCAAAACAACACTAACTATACACCTAATTAGAGTCTGGGCCTTCCCATCCCCCCATCTGTTCTAGTTCACATTTAGCAGAAAGTACATATAACACTTTTGTGGCTGTATCCCATACATAGGAGATAAGTATAGGGTCCAGAAAATCAAGCTTAAGTAATGTCAAAAAAACATCTATTATTAATTCATTGTAGAAATATTCACTTGCTTCTTTTTGAGGGTTAGAGTGATAGGACCAATTATTCATAAACTGCCTTCAAATACATTTGTAATTCAATGTATTTTTGTTTTAACATTGCCAATACTATCTGTGTGAACATTTTGTGCTATTCTCACTTAAACCTATTATGTCTGCATTTAGTGACAGAATCTGCACATGAGCTCCTGAATCCTGGACACCCTCTATACAACAACTTCATGGATCCACAAGGGAAGTTACTTGGACCCAAATATTAGCTTAAAATGACCCTAAATAACACTATCCCATCTTCACAGTTTTATAGGGATATACAGGGCAACCATTAAAATGCCATGGTATTGTTTCAGTTTTAGCTGAAGGTGACACAGTAAAATAAAAAGTGTAACATGTGGCACACACCGGTTTCTCGTCCCCGTCCAAAACGTCCTCTTTGGTGAAGAGCCGCATGCAGTCCATGAGGCTGACCTCGCCGTAGCCCTTCTGAGCGGAACACAGACGCAGCCACGTTAGCACACACACACCAGGACAACGACGCACAAACGAATACACAAAGACGTACGCAAGAAATACACAAGACAAAACAATGCAAAGACACAGAAAAGCACAGAAAAGACGAAAGAAAAGGAGAGCTCATATTAGGGGCTGAAACTGCAGGTGACAACTTGTATAAAAATCTATATCTATATCTCACAAAGAGAACAGAAGAAACAAAACACAAATGATTTTGTCAGATGTGTGGCTTTTTTCATTTTTGCGTTAATGTACAGCTTCCAAATACAAAAGGGCAGAAGTCATAGTTTAATTCATGCATATGCGTTTGTATGTAAGTGTGTGTGTGTGTGTTGTGTGCCTGACCTTTGCGATGGGGAGAGACAGGTCCCAGAAAGGGTCGAACACAGTGGAGCAGAAGCCACAGTGACTGCAGGTCAGAGAGCTCTTCAGCTGCCCCACGAACACATCTGCAACCAACACCACACGCCTCTTAATAACTTATGTGTGACTGAGCTAGTTAGAGATGCATTTTTAAAGACACATCCTTTTGTATGTATCTGTATTATACATCGGATATGTTGACAGAAAAACATCTGCGTAACAACGAGCCAACTTCACTTAGCTATAGGTTCATGAGTCAGATTTGGTATACACTTTACATTTATACTATTACATTGGAGATTGAATTAAGAGATTTGTATCTACTGTTGAAATAGCTTAAGTTGAGTGCCTTGTAGTTGAACCCTCCCCATGAATTAAAGCAAGATGCTTAAATTTTGGCCTATATGGCAAGTTTCAGGGCCCTTAACCCTTTAACATACACTCAAGCGATGTCAAGATGTAAGGGCACTAATAACACAAATCATTTTTTAATGGGTTTAATTGAAGTGGTTTTGCTGCAGTTTGATGGAAAAAGTGCCTAAAACCAAGTGAGATGCACCAAAAAGGGGTCGATTTCAGTTCCTAGTTTAAAGTAGATATATTGACTCAAAAGGTGATCTACTTTAAAGGACACGGTCAATCTAATCAAAGGGAGATCGCATAAATGACTCCCATCATGCAGTGTGTTGAACTTCTTGAACCTCCGAGTGAGCAGAGAGACCTCGCTCAATACGTTTGCACCTGGACTGGCACCAACACAAATGCGACCTATATTTTGTTGTTTTAAAGGATCAAGTTGCTGCTTGTAAGATCTGGCCGCTTTCAGAGTGAAAGTGATTACGTCAGACACATGTGGAGCAGTTTTTCTTGTGTCAATGATTTTTAACAACAGACGAAAGCAGATTATGAAGAAGCCTCAGTAAAACTAAGCCTCCATTTTATGCACATATACAGTACACACTGTATATATTTATGTTTATGACAATCAACAATCTATTAACAAGAAACACTGATCCACTGACTATTTTATCTAATCTCGTTGTTGTAAGTAGTTGTTTTGTTGTTGTAGCTGAGGTACCTATTTTTTCAGATTAATGATATTATTCCCATTGTCCCGACAGAAAGTCTCGTAAAAAAATACTTGAAAGAAAAAAAACCTTTGAGCCACTACTTGTGCTGATTGAGAGAGATTCAGTAAAAGTTGGTCTAAGGATGTGACCAAAAATACATAAACATGAAAACTAGTGAAAACTGCTTTTTATCATTATTATATTCATTACTTTTACTACTTGTTTGTGGTTTGAAAGTTAGGAACCCCAGCTTTAAATGAACACAATAGCACAGTAGATAAATGTGTCATAATCTGAACTAGCCCCAAGGTTAATGGTACGTGGTTGTATAACTAACCAACTATTTTGCTGTCCTCTCTTTCCAGGTATTTGCTCCACATCTTCTTCCCCTTCTCCTCGTCCCTGAAAGAGAAAAAAAAGATGTTTCATATTTACACCAGTGGATAGACAGAGTTGAAATCAGGAAAAAATAGACGTTTCTGGAGCGGCTAAGTTCTCAATCATGAAAAGTAGGAGACAGCTCTGGGTCTGGAGGCTATTTAGAAGCCTGACCTACTTCACAGCACGGATCTAGGTGAACTGAAAAGTACTACGAATTGTGCAGGGTAAATCTGGGCCACACATCATTTCTACTGACATCCTGAAGGAGATTTACATAACATATTCTAAGGCATGAATTAACATGTGACCTAGAAACATTTCAGGTTACAGAAGCAGATAACACAAGCTCATAAAGCCCAGCCCCTGAGTGAAATGAGACTGCAGAATTAAAGCTAAAACCAGTTTGTACCTGATTAAGCATTATAAAACATGTGCAAATGAAGATACAACCTAGAAATCCCTACTGTGAAGATGGTTATGCTTTTAGTTAGGGATTTAAAATAGGACTAACAGAAGTTTATTCTAAAAATATAGACCACAAACGATAAAACTTAAGTTTGTAAGAGGACAAGCTATGCATTTACTTCCTCTTGTGCTTGAAAGCTTACACACCCAGGCAGAAATGTTGATTCAATGTGTCCATATTTATATCTAATCATTCATAATCTCCGGAAAACCCTTCAAGCATTACTGTACATTAAATAATTCTCATTGCTGTACTCCTGTCCGTTCTTTGTTCATATTATACTGTTGAATTAGTCTGAATGGTCTCTGTTTGTGTGGCTTTGGTCTAAACTCACGGGAGGTGGTCGAAGTCCTCCACGCTGCCCCTTGGTCGGACTGTGACCCTGTTGACCTCGTTGTGCAAACCGTCCAGGAGGAATCGCAGGAACTCCTGAGCATCCTGTTGGCTGCACATCACACGCAGTATGAGGCAAGATAGTCAAGATATGAGTCAGTAATATTAGGGACTTACTTGTAACCCACAAATCTGGGTGCATATCTCTGAATCTGAGTTTTGAATTCAGAGGGGCTGACGGCCTCGCTGCTGGTGGATGACCACATTGTCTGTATCAACTTGGCAAATTCTGGAGAACAAAAATACAGACATGTTTGTCCACAACAAGGACTGGCCTCCTGCTGCTGCTCCAGAGACAGGACTAAACACGGGGAGTTAGCATGAACCTATAAGTGGCTAAAATCTAAAATTGTGAGACAGGTTTGTACTTTGACATTATTGAAATCTAACTGTGCATCCTTTCTTCTTGAAATACAATAATATATTATTGTATACAAGAAATACAATAATATATTATTGTGTGTACAAATTGTGTTACCTTATTGTTGATAATAGACAAATCTATCATTACTGTATCGAGGAATGAACTGTCCATTGTGGTTAAACTTTCACACGTACCTTCCATGAGGGCCGTGTTGGCGCGGCTGTTGTTGTTAAGGTCTCTGCGGTGACTGTTGTGCAGGCAGTAGTCTCGGAGGCTGTGGGTGTTACTGAGACACTGCAGGATACTGTTCATGAAGCACTGGAGACAACAAAAGACGTGTGTTCATTAGCGGTATGCGACGCCAAGGTGAAAAACAAAATGATCATCTCGCTATTGTTGCAGGTTCACATCCCTGTACTCTCTTGGTTCGAGGCAAACCACAAGAGCTGCCATTTGTTAAATTATTCCCCCTATAATGTACAGAAACTACAAGAGAAGACCCCAAAAATGCCACTATCGCAAAATCCAAACTGCCACAAGCATTATTTGTACTTCTACTTCATTTGATCTGTAAATTTTAAGAGCAACTAAACACCAAATCAACTTTTTTTAACTCATCAACTGCATAAATGGAGTTGGAGTATTCTGGCAACATCTAGTGGATTAAAATTAAATTACATCAGTAATTCTGAGATTATAGTGTGTGATTAGGTTCAGGTGTGTAGCTTTACAATTATCTTAGTGTGTAAACAAGGGTGGAATGAGACTTTCTGGTGTGTAAACTATTGCTTTAAGCAGCAATGACAACTGTCTGTTTTTTTGTGTGTGTAACAAGTGAGCTGTCAATCACAGCCCAGACCACGCCCAACTCTAAGCCCCCCTTCTTTTACTTTGGTCCTCCAGGCAACGCCCTTTTAAAAGAAACTTTTCAAATCTTCATGTGGGCGGAGTAAGGCTGGATACAGGTGTTTAGTCGCTCTTTAAACTAATCTCTGGTTAGGCTAATGTATACTTTTTCTCTTGGTTTATACAGTGGAGTCGCTTGAGGGTAAAGTACTAGACTAAAGTCACGAAAGGAATTTATTATCAGCTGAAAACCACATGAACACAACACAAACAGCCTGTTGTGGACACTATTGAATGGACTGAATTTGCAAACACTTAAATATTTCAATAAGTGTGTCCCAAAAGGAAAGAGTCTTTTGAAAGTAGAATATTGTGAACAAATCAGACCAAAACTCATAATCATGTCATCAGAAAACATGCTATCTTTTCCAAGCTTGAGTCATTATTTGACACTTCAAACTGAGCTGAAGGCTGAGTGAGGGTAGTCCACTCTTTTTCACTTTTCTGTCTGACAATATGTGAAAAGACATACAGTCGAAAACAAATCATGAGACCAAACTTGACTGTTTCGATAGTGAGAAACTAAAACAGATTCTAATATAAAGTAGAAATGTTTTGTGGTTTGAAAGTTAAGAGTTTAATTTGAAACCATTTAAATAAAATACTTGTGCTGTTAATGATCCTTCAAATCAACTGTGAACGTTGAGTAGAAACTTTACTAAGTGTTCGAAGAGAAAACTGCAAAAGACTGACTGTGTTTTGTAAACTCTTCCATTACGCTTGGACACACAGGACACATGCAGTTTGGGACGGATCAAACCGGTCGCACCCCCCACACCCCCCTTGCCACCACACCGCTCAGAGGCCGGTGATTCGGTTACAGCGCACACTATCACTGGACACTGTTTATTTTGAGAGCCTGTTGCCTGGTGACCCGCGTACAGCTGGGCAGAGCAGTCTGAGAAATGACTTTACTCTAAATCACTGCTGTTAGCAGCACATACATGGAACATCTCACTGTTTACGGTGACGAGGGAAGTAATAAATGCTGTTGTTACTCACAGTGTTTCCCAGGTTCTTGAGTCCCACCAGGCCTTGGGCACTCTTCGAATTCTGAAAAGAAAAAAATACACAAATATAACAAAAGCTTCCATCATCTCGCTTTCAAACCGCAGACTTTGTGTTTTTGTTTTCCTGTTTGTATACACCTGCAAGTTTGAAATTAATTTGTGAACAAAAATAAAATCCTGAATGAAACAATACAGAGCAAGGTTTAACTTTTTTCTTAACTAACTTTTATGAGGACAGCAACCTCCTCAATTTCATAAATATTTCAAGTCAGGTCGTCTTCTTTCAATTAAAGACAATTGGATTGTTTTGTTGTTTTTTTTTGCAAAATTCCATAGAGATTAGACAGAGAAAAAGCAGAGGGAAAAACCTAAAGCTGATCACTAATTGTGAAATCAAATTGTCAAGTTCTGAAGTCCACAAAAATCCCAGGTGACATTTTCTAGATTACTATAATAACTCATACCACACCGGATGGTCTGTGTAATTTTTGACTATGCAAGCTTAATTGACAGGGGAGCACAGCATCTGTTTCATTACAATATTATTCTCCAGTCTTCAAAGCAGAGGAGTGGGAGTTGTCTGTGAGCTGTCAGTAATGCAGTGCTTTGTGTGACGCTGAGTTTGATGTGGTTCAACTTCATGTGAGGTAATGCCACGACTAAAAATAGGGAAATAACAAGTGAGCATGTCATTGAGATAGGGCTGTTATTTTTCCTATACAGCATATATAGTCTAAAGTGAGAAAAAACTTCTATAAAAAGGCAAGGCAAGGCAAGTTTATTTATATAGCACAATTCATACACAAGGCAACTCAAAGTGCTGAACAAAATAAGAAAGCATTAAAATCATAAACAATCACAGTACATACAAAAAAAAAATAGAAATCCCTCAGTTGTATGCACAGCTAAACAAGACGGTTTTTAACCTGGTTTTAAACATTGTCAGAGAGGAGGCCTGTCTCACATCTTCAGGAAGATTGTTCCAGATTTTAGCAGCATGAATCTGAAAAGCAGCCTCCCCATGTTTAGTTCTGACTCTGGGCACTAACAGGAGTCCAGTCCCTGTGCTCCTCAGAGTCCGGGCTGGTTCATATGGTACTAACATGTCACTAATATATTTTGGTGCGAGGCCATGGAGAGACTTGTACACAAGCAGAGCTGTTTTAAAGTCTATTCTCTGAGCCACAGGAAGCCAGTGCAGAGACCTGAGGACTGGACTAATGTGGTCGTACTTCCTGGTTCTAGTCAGGACTCGAGCTGCTGCATTTTGAATGTACTGCAGCTGTTCAAGCAATGTAAGTTGCAAAGCTGTACACTAAGCAATGTTTTCAAGTAAATATTCAGAGGTAATAATGTTTTTTGAGGAGATATTATTAGGTGTTAGGAATGCTATTTTTTCAATGTATAGACCTACTTCAACATTATTATGGATAAGGGCTGTAACAAGCTAGTCGATTAATCAGAACTAATTCAGTAATAAATGATCAATCAACCATTTCTGAACCTACATAGACTTAAACATGCAGAGAAGAGCTATAATGAAAGCCCAATGTGTAACAAGTCATCTCTATAAAGATGTTCTCCATGTATAAAAAATCCTATATTAACTCGCCTTTGGAGATTCAAACAACAAATCGATTAATCAAAATAATAATCAAACAATGAATTCATTATCAAAATATTAAGCAAATTACGATTTACAATTTGATGCCGGTTTGGATAGAAGAATAATTGTTATGCATTATTGGTCTCAGGCCAATTCTGTGACTCAAAAGGTGTGATTTGTTTGTGTTTAATAGCACTGATTACACATCTATGCTCATTAAACTAAAACTCAACAGAATTTTTAGTTAGTAACAGAAAAAGAAAAAAAATTATTCCAATGAAAAATATTCAACTTCCTTGTTATTATCCATTTGCTCTTTCTCTCTTTATCTCTTGCACTGAATGCCCTTTTCACACACATAATCCATGTGCTTTCTCTCTATGGACTGTTCCAGACGGACAAATCATCTTCCCGTTTCGTCTTAAGAGAGTAACTTGTTATTGTTATTCGAGATCAGTTTTCTCCAGGCACTAGCTCGCACGGCACAACTCCTACCTAAGTTGACTTCTTCGCTGTAATTATGATACCAGGAGACAGATGGCATCTCAAAAGCTGAAAAATCATAAATTGGCATGAAATATGACAGCCCTTATGCCATGCTGCTGCTGTTAGCTGTCATTACATAAGTTGGTTATATAATTGAGCATTGAGAGATAAACAAAAGAAAGAGGGGGCGGAGGAGGGAGGAGCAAGCACCTTGGACTTGGCAGTAATAGATTGTGTAAAAAAAGATACTGACCGCTGCAAATCTACTGTACGGAGAAAGCATGACTCAAACCATGGTATTTCTGCTAATAATGGACGTGACATTTTACTGTCACAGGCTATTTTGACTGAATTGCACTTTTTGGAGTTGTTTCTCCACACATTACATTACTTATGGATGATTCCTGCAGATTCTTGCACTGAAAAACCGATGCACTTTCATGGCAGTTTTAAAACTTAAAGATGGAGTTGGTGATGTTGTTAGCTTAGCCGTAGCACCAACTCGAAACCACTCCCCCCTCCCCTCCCCTCGCCTCGCCTCTCCACCAAACCAAACATCCAGCATTTTATTTTCTTTGTCACAACAGGGAGAGTGGGTGGTAAACGTGAAATTGGCCTTTTCTGTTCAGCCCTTTTAGGTTTTAGAAAATAATCCGATAACTCAGGTGCGCACAATCGAGAGAAACAAGAAGAGGGTGAAGGGGGGTAAACGCATCCCATTGGTTTGTTGGGGATGAACGAATCCCATTGGTTAATTTTTATTGGTCCGCTCCAAAATATGTTTTATTAGTTTTTGGAGACTATAGGCATCTGGTCAATTCCATTACTATTTGAAAACACATGATTACTTGACTACTTTTAGGGTTTAGGGACGTAAAAAATGCACCTGGAAAAAAATCACTGACTGCATCTTTAATTCAAGAACACTTAAACACAGTTAGATTTGCCAATGGGACCAACAGTCATATTGTCATCAAGTGTTTTGTCTCTTTTTTAATAATCTATGCTTGTCTCATTAGTAAATACAAAAGGAAAATACATTAAATACATTCATTTGACTAAAATCAATTATAAAGACGTTTTTGCAGTGTGTCATGTGACATAATGCAACATCGACACAGGTTTTTTTTTCATTCAAAAGATGCAATGTGTTTTGTTAAAGTGTTAATCTCTATAGCAACAGCTATATGCCTCTACTGCATGTTTTCACAAAGGATATTGACAAATGATTTTAAATTGTTGCCATTTTAACACCTTTCTATAGTAATAACATAATGTTTACTTCTTCATATCATGTTGATTGAATAGAGAATTGAATAGAGTACACCTGATGTATGTGTGCAGTGGACCTTACGGAAGTCGATGCTCGACAGTAACCTGAGCTGGTTCCCTCCATGAAGCCAGTGGTCACCTGATCACCAACAATCGAAGCTGACCCAGAGTTCCTCCAGTATGAGCTCATGCAAGCCTACCACCCGGGCACCCAGGCACCCAACCAACCATTCAGCCAACCAATCAAACCACACAACCAAGCAACCGAGCAACCAACAACCCAACTTCCTAGACTGATCTGAGTCAAATGTGACATTTTAGAGGTTATTACATTAGGCCTTGGTGGTTATTGATGATAATAGGTTAATTTAAAAGAGAGTAAATGAGGTGTAACATGGTAGGCCTATAGTAATATTCACATTATACAGTGAATCCAATGAAAATCCATGAACATTTTTCTTAAACATGCTTCTAAATGGATGCATGACGTTGGTATCAAAACATAAAATGTATAATCTGATGTTTTGCCATCATTTCTGGTATTTTTACTAACAACAATACACTCAATAATAAAACTGCATGTCTTTTTACTTCAACTGTTGAGAACCTTGCTAATTTTTATTTTTACAATGATTTCATTGATTTAATCTAACAAAGTTCCAATTGCTTTATCTTGCTTTTGAGAACTTATTTATTTTTGACTCAAAAATAATGACTGAATTGATGATCAGGCAATTTGGAGTTTTCCTTTTGCAGACTTAACGACACCAAATTATGTATAATATCAACAAAACAATACAACCCCCATTATGCACAGTAAAGTATGCAATAGCTGGTGCTATGAGACTTGGGTGGCATCTCTGACTGCCACCCCCCTGACCCAGAAATGGATTAAAGGGTAGAAAATGGATGGATGGATGGAGTATGCAATTATCAAATCTAATCTCTAATGATTCATTTATGAATGGCCACACCAGTAGGGCATCGTGACCTTTGAGGCTTTTTTTTTGGAGTAATACACAAATGCCTCTTCTTTAACCTTGTGAGACCCACTGTGACGTCCTCATGATCAGCTGTAGGTTTGATTACATGATCCTGAAGCATAGCTTATTCTCATACAGAGCAGCCACAGGGCTTTCCAGTGCGTAACTTTAACACCATAGTCCATATGCAGATACAATTGCCAGTAAAAAGTTATATAATAGAGTGAAATAAGGACTAAAAGAATAATCAATATTGGCCCAGGACGTTTTTGAATGTATTCACTTTGTGTGGTTTTTAGAAAGATAAAACAATTGGATTAGTTATTGGGGTTGAGATAATAAATGCACTGGTTGAGCTTGAAGAAATTGATATTTTTTCATCATGAAGCAGTAGTATTAATATTATAACTGAAAAAGCTGGGATCATAACAAGTGTATATTTCCTATTCAATACATAAACAGCCTAAACAATAGATTTGTACAGTTTTTTTCCTCTAATCAAGCAGCTCAATGCCACCTTCTGTCGAGTCAAAGCATGAAGGGAAAATGTAGGTTGAGTAGCACATTAGTGGCTTATTTAAATCTTGCCTTTTGTATACTCCTTGTCGGTGAACTGTGCTCTTTATTGGACACATAACTCAGCACAGACATCCTGCCGTGCTCTTTATCCATTACATATTGCCTCTTTTGGACATG